GCACATCTCCCACCTGGTTCTTGTAGGACATTTGCTGTGGGAAACCAGCCTCCCTACTGGGAGGAAACCCAAGCAGAGAGGCCAGGGGTAGGTGCTCTGACCAAACAGGCCAGGGAACCCCCAACCAGCAGGTCCTCAGATGACTCCAGGGCCCAGTCATTGAGTCATCAGGCTTGGCTCTTCCTGGTGGAGGCCTCAGACATCACTGTGCATAGAAAGCCATGTTTGCTGTGGCCACTGAATTCCCAACCAACAGAATTCTTGCACATAAAAAAAACAGTTGTTTTTCATGCCAGCACATTTGTGGTGGTGTGTCCATGGTGACAGAGACCAGAACAAACCCCAAAGCAGGGGCTGCCGAGGTGGTGTGGGTGATGAGGCCGAGGTGGGGTTTGGGACACTGAGGTTGGGAGTGCCCTAGCCCCTGGGTTCAGGTAGCACTTTACACTGCACAAGTGTCTTCCATGCATTTGGCCTCTCAAGAACCCTCATTTATAGGTGGGAAAACCCTGATGGAGATTATGTCTGTGATGCCTCTGTCTCCCCCAGAACCAGGGCTCTCTCTATCAAAGTTGTGCCACCTTGACTGGGCTTTGAAAAATCAAACTCCACTGCCTGGTGCAAAGCCATGGATGGCTAGAGACCTCCTCTCGGTGTGATTAGTTTGAGTTTTGTGCCTTTGGTACCCATCATGGGAGAAGAAAAATCTCTCAAATGTTGTTAATAAACAGAGTCAGAGGAAAGTGTACAAGGCAAGTATTATTTATCAAATGTGGGAAATAAGTTAATCAAGAAAATCAATCCTGGGGTGTCTTTTCTGGGAAGGTGAGTGTAAGTATAGGGATGTAGCTCATAGGAGCTCCAGGCTTTGAAGGCGGCTGTGTGTGGTGACCAGATTTTGGAGTCTCTAAGTCCAACTGGTAGTGGGTGATTTTCTTTCTCTGTATCTGCTGAATCTCCGAGGGCTTTATGGCCCAGCACCGATGGCTCCCAAGCTGTGGCCTTGGTCTGCTCGGAGCTAGGTGGCCCCAGCACCACTCAGGGCCCCAGGTTCAGGGGAGCTGCTGTGATTTCAAATGTGATTTTTAGATGCCTGTGGACAAAGTGCCCCTCCTCAGTTCTCCTTGGTCCAAACCTCCTTGCCCTTCATGCTCCTGAGGCAATTGACATGCATCCCAGTGGTACCTTGCACCTTCCCAGAGTCTTCAAGTGGAACTGTCTGGAACCGCACCAAAGACACTGGCTGGAACCACACCGGAGATGTGGTTGTGAGGGAAGCAGTTCCCATGGGTGAGGTTCAGAGGTCAGTGTTCTGGGGAAGGGAGTTTTATCCAGGCCCTCTTCCCATCTTCCCTCTGTCCTTTCCTTCCTTGTCAGTTTCCTGGTAGGATGGGTTGGAAAGTCAGAGAAAGGGGCATTTTCCTCTTTCTTTATTCTGTCTCTGAGTTCCCAGTGAGAAGACATGAGAAGACATGCTTTTTGTCTTCCTGAATCTCATCTAGCTCACACCTTGCAGATAATAGGAACAGTGTTTTAGATGATGTGATATTTTATGTTTCATCTTGATGAGACTGTAGTGCCCAGTTATTTAATAAAACACTCACCAGGGTGTTGTTGCAAAGGCATTTTGTAACTATGGTTAACAGCCACAATCAGTTGACTTTGAGTAAAGGATTATCCCCTATACTGTGGGTGGGCCTCATGCAATTAGATATTTTGAAAGTAAAATCTGGTTTTCCAGAGAAGGAACTCTGCCCCAAGACTGCAGTGGCAAATCCTGCCTGAGTTTTCAGCCTGCGCTACAGATTTCATATTCACCAGCCCTGCAATCCCATGAGTCGGTTTCTTTAAAAAAAAAAAAAAAAATAAAAATAATATATATATATATATATATATATACACACACACACGCACACACACCCCTGTATTTACACACACACACACACTCACGCCTCCTATTGATTCTGTTTCTTTGGGGAACACTGCCTGGGTGTATCTCATTGTCTTGACATTTTTCATTATTGAGAATTCTTTGACCCAGGTATTCAAACAGGTGTGATGACAATGGTGGTGGAGATGGGCAGAAGGTGAGAATGACATGCGAACAAACGTGCTTATGAGCCCATGCTATACACGGAGTGTTTGAGGCAGGTAACTAGGAGGGTGTGGCCTGATGGGGAAGACTTTGCGTCAAGAGTCAAAGACCAGTGTCCAGGCCCTCCCTGTATGACTGACTGCTGTATTCTGTAATGTGGGGAGAATTACAATAATTCGGGCAATCTGTAATGGCATAGACAGAGAAAGACCAATATTGTATGTCATTCCTTATATGTGCAATCTAAAAAAAAAAAGACAATTCCATAGAAACAAAATAGAATGGTGGTTGCTACAGGCTGGGGCAGGGGAAATGTGGGGAGATAGTTCTAAAGGTACAGACCAATAAAATCTGCTGTAGAGCCTGGTCACTATTGTTATTAATACAGTATTATTACTTGAAAGTTGCTGAGAATAGAGCTTAAACATTCTCAACATGCACACACACAGACACACATACACGTGACTGCGTGAGGTCATGGATGTGTTAATTATCTTGATCTTGGTAATCATTCCAGGATGCATATGTATATCAAACCATCATATTGTATACTTTAGCTACATACAATTAGATTAGTCAATTATTCCTCAGTAAAGTTAAAAGAATTTTAAGAAGTCAAAGCATTTTGTAAAGCAAAACACAAATGCAGTTTGTTGTTTGTGACTGTTCTATCCACGAATTATCTAAAATAATTCTTTTTTGGAGAGAATGTGCCCTACAGGTGGCAATGGACTCGGTTCTTCTTCCCTGGAATGACATTTTGGCTCAGTTCAAGAGAGAAAACAAGTCAGGGTCCATTTGTCAAAACCAAGTAACTGCTCTCAATGGGGTCTCATAAGGATGCAAATAGGAGCTACTGACCTGGTTTTAAGTCTGGGAAGTAAAGGACCCGACTGGCAGGGGCTTGGTCAGGTCTGTGGGCTGGGGGTAATTGGAGAAGAGCAGGAACAAGTTCTACCAGTCTTTCTCCACTTGCTTTATTCACCTCGCTTACTCCGACTTTTGAGTCCACGGTCCTGAGGCTTTGGGGGCACGCTAGGACTCAGGGGATGCTCTAGACAGTGACTTGTCTGTGCCCTAAGTGGGTGATGGGAGATAAGGCAGCATCAGGTCAGAGGAGTGTACTGGGGAGAAGGGAAAGTAGCCACAACCTGAACTGGCATCTTATGGGACATCAATTGGCCAACATGGGCCTGTGAAGTGTTTCTCCATGTGGAAGAGGAATAAATTTAGAAGCTCCTAATAAAATTCAGAGACTTAGAAAGGGAAGTTGGTGGACCTAGTGGATGTTCTAGCTACACCAGAGGTCCTCAAACTTGAATTTTCATCAGAATTACTTGGAGAACTTCTTAAACCTTTAAGACTTTTAAGACCCTAGGACATGTCTTTATTTTTTTAACCCCTTACTTTCCTGTCCCTTAGAGTAGCCTGTGCGTTTGATATAGTCAGAGGCCATCATGTCCTGGAACATAATGTTTAATGACTAAATGAATGAAGTTTTGAGAGTATTTAATTCACTGGTCATCATTTATTATGGTCATATTCCTGTGTACACTGTATCATGGCTCTGTGGGAGAAGAGCAGAGTAAGAGTGGGAAGGGGAACGGAAGGGAGGGAATATGGTGAAATAATTAAAGAAATAAAGAAAATAATTCTTATCCTCCAGGGATTTGCAACTTCTAGGAGGTCAAATATACTCACATAATGCTAACAGTTTGCTTCTCTAAAACATAATGAGCTTTATCCTGCAGCAACTCATTGCTGAAAAATTAGCAACCAGCTTATGTGCAAGTCCAAGGCAGTCTCCTAAGGTACAAACCTGGGGTGCAAGGGCGCTGGGAGACCAAGTCCATTCTGGATGGGTTAGGCTTGGGTTAATATTGGCTAAATCCATAGGGAGTGGCATTGGAAGGGCTTCTCAGTGAAGTGGGGTATTGGACATTCTCCGAGTACAGAGTGCTCTGGCAAAGTGGGAAAAAGCCCCCCTCCACCCAGCAAAGATCAATGTCTTAGATCCTGCCTATCTCAAGCTGTCAGGGACCCTCTTCCTTAGAGCACATTCGGGCAGCACAGTCTTGCATTAATTTAGAGCTAATTGTCAGGTAATGAATTCGATTTGGCTCACCATATTGAAATCCCTTCTGCTCCCAGCTGAACACCAGTAAATCATTTGCATCACAAATCTTCTCTTTGCTGGATGCTCAGCTGGTCCAAGCTGTTGCTCAGACCCTCTCCTGCCCCCCTCTCCCCCATCCTTGGTCTTGGAAAGCAGTTGAAAATCATCACAACTTGTTTGAGATGCAAAACTGAGACACACCCAATAAAGCTGAATATGGGTAAGTATCTTTGAAAAGTCTGGCTCAAAGATTCTCAAAGTGTGGTCTTTTGAACCAGAGGCATTAGCATTTGGATAACTCAGCCCCTGCCTCCCACACTAAATCAGGATTCTTTGAGTGGATCCAATAATCTGTGGTTTAAGAAGTTCTCCAAGTAATTGTGATGAAAAATCAAGTTTGAGAACCACTGGTCTAGCTAGAACATCCACTAGGTCCACCAACTTCCCTTTCTAAATCTCTGAATTTTATTAGGAGCTTCTAAATTTATTCCTCTTCCACCTTTGTATTACTTGAAATTAGGTTTAGTTGTGTGTGTGTTGGGAGTAGGACAAATATAAATGCTTTAAAAGGATAGAAGTTCTATTAATGCAGTGATTTTCAGTGATGCATCTCTGAAACTTAAATAATGTTCTAAAATAACTTCAATAAAAAACTGCTGAGCGCAGAAGCTGAGCTCAATAAACACAAATTAACATTTTTAGCAGAACCTGAACCCAGATCCCTTTTCTGGGTGCTCAAAAATGATTTCTTCTACATGTTGAGTTTGACTGGTTTTCCTTCTTGCACAGACTTCTGGAGTGCTGGGCCCCACATGCCAGTATTGCCTTCAAAAGGCCCGGCCTGAAGAAAGGAGTAAAGAAGACATATATTGATAGAACACATCTCATTTTAAAGCCCATCTACCTCCAGAGTCTTCTAATTCCTGATGGATTATCTCCTCTTATATCACTGAAATTTTTGCGTGAGTCCAAAGGAATGAGGTAAGAAGGGGGGAAGCAAATGACATACATATTGTATAGCTGTATATTATTTTTTTAAGTTGTATTTTTTTTCATTAAGGTAACATTGGCTGATAACACTGCGCATGATTTAGGAGTACAGGTTCACACCTCTTCGGATGTATATTACATCACCACACCCACCACCAAAGCCCCCATAATCATACTCCCCACCTTTGCTGTCTGGTTGCCTAAATTCTGAAGTCGTATTTCTAGGGTTTGTTATTGTTTAGTTTTGTGTATTCCTCTGTTTTATTTTTTTCCATTCCTCACATATCTAGAAGAAATGAAATTAGTTCATTCACCCAGAGACACACCACAAAGGAAAGTGGGATAGTTTCAGAAACTTTTGAAACAGGTGGTCTTACCTCCTCTGCCCATGCTACTCAATACTTGAGCCAGTCAAATATAGAAGGGAAAAATATTTTTCCAAGAAAACAAGCAACAACTACAAAACCCACTTAGTATATATAAATAAGATAAACTGTATCCATCCCGCCCCCAGGAGAAGAAAAGGATAGGAGAAAATACATGAAGTTCTAAGGTAAACAAGTTGGGGACAGGCATTTGAAAACTAGTGACTCTGTCATGTCCCCATGCTGCCTCCTGGTCAAGGATGTCTGCTAGGATCTGGTCACTATGCCTGAGGAGCACTGGCAGAAAGAAGAAGGGAGAAGGGTATAGTTATTCCTTTATAGACACTTCCAGGTAGCAACATACCATACTTCTCTCTTATATCCCACTGACCTATATTTAGTCACTAGGCTACACATAGCTGCAAGGGAGGCAGGGAAACAGTTTTTAATCTGGGTGTTCATGTGCCCAGTGAAAAATCAGGATCTCTTTTTCCAAGGAAGAAAAGGAAATCAGGTAATAGCAGAGACAACTAGCCAAAACAAAGGCACACCATGTCCTTTGAGACTTATTTCTGCTTCAAAATCTTCAGGCAAAGTTCTTTTCCATGTTCATCACACGTGTCAATGCCTGCTTCACAACACATTTATTTCAGGTCCTGTTTTTCACTCACTCTGAGCATTCCTTTTTTCTGACAGCCCCCAGGCCTGTATCCCACTACACATAATTCTCACTGCCTGCTGACCCATTTAATTTCTGTAAAATCATGACCCACAGTTAGGCTGTAAATGCCTAGAAGCTACTATTAGGGTGTTGTCTTTGCTGGCGTTGTAGCAAGACTCTCAGTTCCTCCAGGACCCTGACTCCTCACCTGTAAAATAAGGGGATTGTAGATGGTCCCTGAGGTGCCTCCTAGTTCTAACATGCCCAGTGCTCTTTCTCTTTTTTTTTTGTGGTTTCCTTTCTTGACATTTATGACTGTCCTCAGGGTGGGAAGGCAGTGAGCCCTGACCAGCTAAGTACTAGTAGAATTTGGGCAGCACTGGTTATAAATGAAGACACGGACTGCAGAGTCAGGAAATACAGCTCAGGGCTTGATTTGGATGATGACTTTCGAGAAACTGGTTCTGGAAATGAGAAATGTGATTTGTATAACAATTAGGGGAAATCTTGTAGGGAATCCTTTAAGGTTGGATCATTTATCTGATATTACCCCTCCTTGCCTCAAGCTCTACCCACTCTATGTCTGCTTCCACTACTCTGTAGATTTAAAACACACACACACACACACACACAACACTGAGGGCCACACATAGGACTATAAACTTCAGTCTCTTCATCTGTTAAATGGGAATAATAACTGCATTCATGCTAATGAAGTGTATTAGACAAAAACATTTACATAAAGTCATAGACATTTTTGCAGGTGTTCCATCATTTTTTTCTCCCTTTCTGGAGATATATATATATATATATATATATATATATATATAAAGATTTATTTATTTATGCATACAAGAACTGGGGTACAGGCCAGAGGTATGTGTGTGGGGTGTGTGTGAGAGGATTCACCAGAAACAGAGAGGGGAACAAGCAGACAAATTGACTGAAATACACCACTGAGGGGAGCAGCGGGTGAGACAGGAGAGGTCTGCTGCTCTAGGTGGGTAACTCCCTGGCCGGGCATCAAACTCCATTGCAGTGGCTGTGAGACAGTTTCATAGTGCTGTGTCTTAACCCCTTGCACCACCAGGGAAGCCCAGGAGATATATTTTTAAGTGGATTTTCATAATCGATAATCAAATCATCCCTAGTTTATTCAAACCTCTGCTTAGCTGAGAAATTGCTCTCAGGACATCCTGTTCCACATATGTGGAGCACAGATCCAAGTTAAGCAAGCCTGAACTTTCAGTCTGCTGTCTGAACAGGGAGAGGAAAGGAACCAATAATATCTGATTCTACTTATGTCCTGAGTGCGGGACATGCTTTATATGGCTTAACCATCACATAATTCTGTTAATGGCTCATCATCCTGTCCAGAGCAAAAAGGGGGCTAGGGCTTGGGTTTGGATTTGGGTTAGGTGTGATGTAATCATTCTACATTGAGGTCATGGAGGTCCAAATACAAAAGTCACTTGGCCAAGTCTAGCAGAGATGAGAGTTGTGACTACTATGGACATCACCCAATGGGATGGAGAAGGAATAGTTTTGATCTGTGTGAGGTTTTGATCTGGGTGAGGGAGCGATAGGGAGATGGAGGGCTGCATGGTATGAGAGGTCTTGAGAGTGTGGGAGAGCAGCAGCCACTTCCCAGTTCTGTTTGGGATGAGTTTTGGTATAAAAACTGATTGCCTTTTGTAAAACGCGTCCTTTGAGATTAAAAGTTAATCTCTTTGAGCACAGAATGCTCAGAAACACTTTTATGGATAATCTCCCACAAACCTGTACCGATCCTGCTAACCCCAAGATATGGCATATTCCTTTAAAAGTCCTGGGTAAAGCAAATGTCTGCTAGTGAGTTCATTTCCATCTTTTGTATTCCATAAACTTCAGGATAAAGTTCAAACTCGGAGGCGAGACACAACTGCTATGTTAACTGACCACAAGTTCTCTCTGCTGCCTCTGACCTCATCCCTGTCCTTTATACAAGCAGGTGTATAGGTGTCTGTAGACGTCCTGCTTGTTAACCCTGCTCTTGTCCCCTCAGTCATCGCCATGTTGACTGAAAAAAACACCATGAAGCAAAAATGAAATAATGCTGCTTTTTTTGCTCTTTTATTTTTGCAAATTGGAGGGCACAGACTCAGGTGTCAGCCCAAATTTTGTCCTGCTGGGATCTTTGTGTAGGGAGTTTCAAAGGGAAAAGATGGAAGGATAGAATTGCAAAACTGGGATCAGTTTCAGACTGCATTTCTTACAGTTCATTGGCTTTAATTAAAATGGCCTTGGTTACCAGGGAGAGAAGAAAAAGGATAAAAAATATCTTTACACAGATGTCAGGGCAGGCCTAGCTGGAGACTGGTCCTCACCAGTTGATAAATAGTTTTTCTTTTTTTTTTTTTAATTTGCAAGTTCAATAAGAACTTCAAGAGCCATGGGGAGACCAGGCTCTCCAAGTCTGTGGGGTGAATTGGGTGTCTCTTCTTGGTGCCACACTTCCTCCCTCCCAAGCACAGACCAATGCTTTAGAATTGGCTGTGGGTGTTCCCTTTCCCCCCAAGGGAGCTTGTGTCTTCACATTCGGATCCCAGTGCCTGGAGCCCAGTAGGTGCTTGTTCTATTGCATTTAATCTCAGCCATGATTCATCCATCAGTTGCAACTGGATTCTGGTGAGGATGGATACAGAAGATGTGTGACCAGCTCCCCTCTCTTCGAGGAATGTAGTATCTACAGTGGAACAGAGCAATCCAGAGAACAAGGACATGATGTCATTGCTAAACCCAGCAGCCCTGGCCACTGAAACCTGGAAGGTTCAGAGGCAGATTCATGGCAGCGGTTATGCCTCGCTTAATGATGTTTCAGTCAACAATGGACCACATGGAGGACGGTGGTCCCGATACACAGCCTGGGTGTACAGTGGCTCACTATCTAGACTGTGCATTGCATTCTGTGATGATTGTATAATGAGGAAATCAGTGAATGGCTCATTTCTCAGAACGGATCCCCAGGCATGGCTGTAGTCTTGGGCTCTGAGGGTTGGGTTGGGAGGTGAGGAGGGACCTGCAGGAGTGATGTGGTGTCCCTGGTGAGAATGAGTGGCAGGTGGAGTGGTGAAGAGGCACCTGCCTGGGAGAACGCAAAGGCTTAAAAGTCATAAAAGGATTTTGATGTCTTGAGGTATCGGGAGTCAGAAAGATGCTCAATGGGGAGAAACAGGATGAAATGGTGTTTTAGGCACATGAGTCGTGTGCAGAAAAGAGGTGACCTGGGAGGAGAGGAAGTGGAGGTCAGAGAGGCTGACTTTCGTTTGATCTTGAGCCACGCTTGCTCTGCCTCTCACCTCTTCTAGGAGCTCAGTAGCTTAGAAGCCTGTAGGTGCCGCTTTCATTCTGTTCACTCGTTCTTTCAATTTTTTTCTATTGAAACTTGCTATGTTCCCCTCCTTATGGTGGGTGCTGGGACTGCAGAGAGGAAAAAGGCAAGACTCCCGTCCTCCCAAAGACCCCTGTGACCGAACACAGAGCCCCTCTCCGTCCTGCACATGACTACACACCGCTGCCGAGCGACCTCTGCTGCTCATTTAAGGAATGAGTTTTCTTATGTACATGAACTCTAGTCCTCTGCCCCATCTTCATGCTCCTGTCTCCCCACTCCTGTTGATTTGCCAGTCTCCTTGAAGGAGTAACTTGCAAATACACACTCTACCATGGGAGGTGACGTGGGGATGGTCCTTGAGATGCTGACCAGGGGGAATTCTTCCCTTGGTCTCTCCCCTGGCATTTGATGCTTAACCATGGATCTCACCTCCACGACCCCCACCTGGGGCTATCTACGCACCTGGGTCTCCAGGGCCTCTGCTGAGAATCCCCTTTGAGGTCTCAGTTCCCTCGTGCTTGATACCTATATTTGGTGACCCCTTAGTCAATCGATTCCTTTCCCTCCTTGACCTTGAATCACTTCCCAAGG